TGTGTTTCTTCTTCGCCCGGCTGGAGGGGATGGGAGCTGTGTGTGTGTGTGTGTGTGTGTGTGTGTGTGTGTGTGTCTACTGCCCCCTGCTGGAGGGGCCGGGCTCTGCTCGCTGTGCACACGCACTGGGGTGTGGCTGTGTTTGCTGATACCTCCGTGTTTCTTTGCAGGGTGATTCTGGAGGCCCACTGGTCTGCAATGGTATGCTGCAGGGCGTGGTCTCCTGGGGAACAGCCGTCTGTGCCCAGCGGGGATATCCTGGGGTCTACGCCAATGTCTGCAAAGCCGTCCAGTGGGTGAGGGACACCATAAGGGACAGGTCCACCGAATAGGACTGAGGATTCACAGCACATCACGCCTGCCACAGTAACCCACCAGGCCCCTCCCCACGCCCCCGCCATGCCTCTCCTCATCTCACCACAGCACCTGGGGGATATCGAGTGGAGTGTGGAGAGATTGCTCGGGCAGCACTGCGCTGGGGGTATTGCAGAGTGGCCAATCCAAAGCAGCCAGCAGTTACAACACAGACCTGACACAATCCAGCAACTGGATGAAAAATGTGCAAGTGGCATAAAAAACCCGAATCAGCCTGGAGATTGTGAGATTGGTTTAGAAAACAAGAGATCAGCTTGAAATTCTCTCAACTGGTTTCCCAAAACCATAAAAGCCCTGAATCAGCCTGGAGTGAACAGGAGCAGTTCAGAAATCCAAAGGCCGACTTTAAAAATCAAGAGATTTGCTTTAGAATCTCGGGATTGGCTGGACAACCACAAAACAGTTGTACTCACCACAACTGTGAGGTGGGTTTCCAGGTGAAAAGAGTGGATTAAACGTTTGGTCCTGGTGTACACTAGGACCTTATTTTGAAATAACTGCCCCCATGTTCGAATTCCTAAGTGGTTCGCCCACACTAAGAGCCCTGTTATTTTGAAATAACTGGCTGCGGAATTCAAACTCAGTACTCCTGGTTTCATCAGGAGTAACAGTAACTTGGAAATAGTAATTTCGAAATAACGGTAATGTGGATGCGCTGGTGCCACTGATTCAAACGTATTGGCCTCCAGGAATACTCCCGCACCTCCCCAGAGGGTTTCTGGGGCGTTAAGTCTGAGGCAGCCCATCTCCATTAAGGCAGCCTGCCTCGGACTCATTTCGATGCTTCCCCGTGGTGAGGAGACGCGAGTTGGAATTTGTTAAATCAGGAGCTCCTTACATCGAGTTTCAAAATAGTTTCCGGCCTCAGAGACGGGTTTTAAAATGCCACGAGTAGCACACAGATCTCTTGCATTGGTGCGGGTGGGGGAAGTGGCTATACCAGCTCTGAAGTCCTAAAGTCTGAAATCTCACGGAAGCTTTATTGTGCGACTGAAACAGAGCTACAGTGACCGAGCTGCGGAGCCGATAGTATAAATAAGGAGCTGGGATTGGTCCTGCCTAGGGCAGGGGGCTGGACTTGATGGCCTTCTGAGGTCTCTTCTAGCTCTATGAATCTCTAAGTTCGTGTTCAGCTGATATTCCACCACAGCCCCCAAATTGTTCTGGGAGTCGCTGCTTGTCCGGATAGAGTGCCCCGCCCTCTGAGTCCGGCCGACTTTCTTTGTTCCTAGACGGATGAATTTATCTAAAGCCATTCACATCCCCCTGTGTCTCAGTGTCAAACCTGATCAGGAGAGACTCCATCACCCAAACTTCATATGATTTTCTGAGAAGTCTCACTTCATAAAGCCTCACTCACCCTCCTGGAGGCGCGAATCTCATGACACTCTGAGCTTTTGTGGCATTGGTCCTGCCTAGAGCAGGGGGCTGGACTTGATGGCCTTCTGAGGTCTCTTCCAGCTCTATGGTTCTATGATTCTATAAAAACAATCACACTCTAGACCTGCGGTTCGGAGAAAGAAAACTGAAATTGATCCACAGAGCATCAAAGCCAGCGAATAAACAATCCCAACAAGCTTTCTTTTGTTTTTTTTAACCTTATGATATTGAAAGCCAGTCTCACAATTTTCAGGGGGCTCCAACTTGCCTTCCTTGAAATTGTGCATCAGAGAGTCTGTCTACGCTGCAGAGTTTTTCTGGAAAAAAAACACTTGACGTCCAGATTGCGAGTGAATTCTTTTGACAGAAAGTTGAAAGAACGGAGGGTTTTTTCCAACGGTGGTTAACCTCAGTCTATGAGCTTTTTCGGGAAAAGGCGCGTGTGGATGCGGAAGAGAGCATTTTTTTAGAAAGAATAGGCCACCAGGAAAAAGCACCGGTGCCCTGGTCGCCCCTCTGTCCACAGTCATCACAACTGAAATACGAGAGCATCCTATCCCATTCATGCTTAAATTTGACACTTTACGAATGGGCCTTAACAAAGATGCTAATTATCTTAGCCATTACAAAGATAGCTTCCCCAATGATCACCCCTAGTATCATTATCTCATAGATACAAGCCTTCCCCCTCCCCCACGCCCTTCTGTTCTAAATCTGATTTGTCACTTTTATAATGTGTTCACTTTTTTTTCATATTTTCCGTTGTATCCCTTTGGTATATATGGTCATGCCAATTCTCTTCCAGAATCTGGCACTCGAAAGCTCATCACCTAATAAACTATCTTGTTAGTCTTTAAAGTGCTGCATAGTCCTGTCTTTTGTTTCAGCAAGATCAGACTAACAAGGCTACATCTCTATTACAATCCATGTGGACGCTCTCTTTCGAAAGAAGTTTTACTAGAAGTTCTCTCCCAGAAAAGCTTATTCCAGGTGGGTTTCCAGATGAAGAGAGTGGATTAAATGTTTGGTCCTGGTCTACACTAGGACCTTATTTTGAAATATCTGCCCCCATGGTCGAATTCCTAAGTGCTGCGCCCACGCTAAGGGTATGTCTACAATGCCACCCTAGTTTGAATTAAGGTAGCAATGTAATCATTTGACCTTGCAAATGAAGCCCAGGATTTACATATCCCGGGCTTCCTTTGCATGTTCCCGGGCATCGCCATTTTTAAATGCCGCGTAGTTCGAACTACCTGCCTGCAGCATGGTCTACGTAGTTCGAATTAAAGCCCCTAGTTCGAACTACCGTTATTCCTCATGAGGCTCCCATTCCATGAGAAATATACACATTTTGCAGGGGCCGGGAGAGGCTGGCGGGAGAGGGTGAAGGAGCTCCATTGTGAATGGGAGTGAAAAGCTGACATGTTTAACCTCCAACACAGCGGGAATGCTAAAAAAAAATGGTTTTACTCATGGTGAAACGTTGCAGGTCTACTGTAAAAGTATTTTACTCCTATAACCCTGCCTCCTTTGGCTTCATAAAATGTTTTGCAAAAGAAAAGAACCCATGCTTCAGGGCAGTGTTGGCATTTTGAATCATTAAGTTTTGGTTTTGATGTTACGTGAGGGTGTGAAACCTAGTCTAAGAGCGAAGGAAAAATTTTCCAACTCTAAGCTGCAGTGGGGGAGATCTAGGTTGGAAAAACGATTTCCCTAGGAGGATGGGGAAGCTCTGGGATGGGTTTCCTGGCAGCAGCAGGCAGGCATTGCTGGGTGTAGGCTTTCTTTGGTAAATGTGCAGCGTTAGGGCGCAAACACACCTCTCCCCCATGCTCCCCCAAGTAAGCTGCCTGAGGTGATCTGGGGGCAGAGTGTTCCTGCCCCCCTTCCCGGACTCACCCTCCCGGTGCTCTGGGGCTGGAGAGACTGGGCCAGGCTGGGCGGTGCTGCACACCCTGACTCCTCCCTGCCCCGGTGCTCCAAGGCTGGGCTGGTGTTGCCTGGTCATGTGGTGTGGAGCACCTTCCACCGGGGCTGGGGAGGCTGCGGCGAGCGCGCACCCACTCCCCTCCCTTGCCTGTGGTTGGAAAGGGGGAGCACATACACCGTCCTTCCCCACCCTAACCATCACCGACCACCTGTGAAGCCCAGCCCCGGCCTCTCTCCTGGGGGAGCCGGGGAAATCAGCCCTGGCCTTCCCTTGGCCAACCAGATCACAGGGGAGGGAGGCTCGGGCAGTGTGAAACTCCTGCCTTCCCTTGGCCAGCCAGAGCACGCTTCCTTGGGGAACCATGGGAGGATGCGTTTGCACCCTTCTCACCCGCCCCCCCTCTGTGTACGCGCCTGATATAGCAAACATCCATCGTTGGGTCCCTATGTCTTTGTCAAGGATTTTCCCCATAAATGCAGAAGTGGGGGCCCGCAAAAGTACCCCAAAACCTTATCTTTCCAGGCTTTGGAATAAAGCTTCTGAAGACCATATGGAGGGTGCCATATGGCACTTATCTACCTCCCCTGGCATCTTCCTGGCCAGAAGAGGTCAGTGCAGGTCCCGTGGTCCAACAACCTATCCCTGTGTCCCATGCTGGCAGCCCTCTGGCTCTGGCTGGTTTGCAAGTATCAGTCACTTTCCTCAGGTGTGTACTGGCCCTAGAGCTTAATTGTCTCCTTGCTAATTAGCACAGCCATTGGCTGAGCATTCCTTGCCCATTGCTCTGCCTCAGACAGACAATCTTCCTTCCAGCATCAACAGAGAGTACATAATAATAACTCCACGTAGAGACATTACACAAGTACATGAACAGCACGTACAGAATCAGTAGAACACAAGCTTTCATGTGACACCTCACATGGCCCCCTTTGTACAGACGTGTGGGGCACTTACACCCCCATGGGTGCAACAGTGATCTAACTTCTCCCTTTAAAATCCAGTAATGTGACACACCCCAGCTTCCCTGTGCCACCATCAGACTTAGGCCTCACACACAGGTGAGAGGTTAGAAAACCCACACTCACCAACTCCAGACAGATCCTCCTGGGCCAAAGGACTCAGCCACATTCCAGGCCAGGTTTCACTGTAGATCTGACCCACAAGGGCACGCTGGACCAGTTCTTTAGAATCCAAACTCCAAAGGGACATTAATAAAAGAAAGAAAAAGTGGAGAGTAAGGTTGTTAATGCGAACACTTGTCATATATCGATCACCGAGTACGTGCTGCGGGCGGTTAGCAAAGACAGTACAAATTGCTCCCTTAACAGTCCTTAGCGTCAGCCTCCGAGGGCCCTTCAATGCTCCTTGTGTCTCCCAACTGGAGCTGGTCCCATCCAAGCAGTCCCATGCAAGCTGGTTTGCATTTTTCCAGATGCAGGTCTCGGGTCATTGTTCATGAGGCAGTGCTACTTAGCACAGCCATTTGCTGAATAAGCACGCTTCACAGTAGGCAGTCCACGCCCAATTAGTCCCTCCAGACAGAAACATTTTAACACACAAGAAGAGAGTCCGTTCCTTAACTTCACATACAGCCATCACAGAAGTACACAAGTATCATACATAGAATCCACAGAGTACAAGCTTTCAGTAGACCCCTTTCATGGACCCCTTTGCACAACATTTGGATCCAACACCCATTCGTGATTACAGCAACACCCTTGCTCAGAGCTAAACAAATTAAATTTATCTACGCCAGCTTTGGCAATGGTCTGAAATCCAATTCACACTGGTACAATGTATGAATCCTCATTCCCCATAATATAGGCATCTTTGGCCTTAGGCATGTATACAAAATGTAGTCGTGCCTCGGTTTCCCACTTCCACAGAGCACACCAATCCTGGGATGCCCCTTCTCAGGTGAGAAGCTCCAATCTCAGTTACAGGTATCAACAGTGAAATGTCAGTATTGACAGTTTTTTAACATTGTGTCGGACCAGGCCGGGTCTGGACACCACTGAGGGCGTCCGCTCAGGGCGAATTGTTCGAATTCGGGGCTCTTTCTAGCCCCCCAACTGGAGGCCTTCCCAAACAGGCCACAAACCAGTCCCACAGAGCGCTTCAGCTGCCGGCCTGAAGCCTCACGAGCAAAACCCCTCCGGCACTCCAGCAATATCCATGCCCAAGATGGCTCTGGGCCTCATACACAGGTGGGGGGTCTTGGAACCCAATCTCACCTACCCCAAACAAGTTCTGTCCGGTTCCAAGAAACCAGCCACAGATCCCTGCTCAAATTACCCTTTCGACCTTACCCACACATCACGCTGAGCCAGTCCTTTAGAATCTACAATTTAAAGGTTTATTGCTACAAGAAAGCATGAGAGTGAGGCTGTCAAAGTATCATACATTACATGCATCGAATCTCCCAGTTCTCGATGCAGCCTCTAGCAGAGATGTTACAGCTGCTGGCTTAAAAGTCCTTGTTGCGCATCCTAGGATCAGGATAGGTCCACAGGTCTTTCCAGGCCCTTCGATCCCTACATTGCTGCCTCTGGGATGAAGTGCTGAGCTGAGTACCAAGATGGAGTCAGCCACATGGCCTCGTTATACATCCTTCCTGGTCTCTTCTTGGCTGCAGCAAGTCACCTGGCCAGCAGCCTATCACTGTGTTCCCTGCTGGTAGCCCTTAGGTGTCGGTCACCATTCCCGAGGTGTGTCCTTGGCCCATTGAGTGCTGTTGTCCCACAGGACCTTGCTAATTAGCATGTCCTTAGGCTGGGCTCTGCCCAATGCTCAACCACATTCAGAGAGACTTCCAGTCTCCATACAGATTATAGATTCTGAACTCCACACACAGACATTATACAGATATATGAAGAGGAGATACAGAATCAGAAGAAAGTTAGTTTTTGTGTGACCCCTCACATGGCCCCCTTTGTACCACTTTTGGGGCGAACACCCCCCCCTCTATGGGTGCAGCAGTGACCCGGCTGCTCCCCTCACAATCCAATAACGTGACAAACATACAGTGTGTCCTGGGTACATTTCTTAACCGTTTCCAGGGCCCTTGCAGAAAATCACGCACATTGCACAGTGACACTTCTTAGGGGCCTCCCCTTGCTCAGCTTTAGCTGTCCCCAGAGCTGAATGTGGGCCCACAGCTCTCTCCTCAGCCATTCCAGGCTGATGGGCACCTCCTGCAGACAGAGAGCTGAGAAGAAACCCTTCCCCCTCAGGTCTGCTGCCCCTCCCAGCAGCCACACTGCCAGGGTCCACACACTGAGCTCCCTCAAACAAATCACTTTCATTTCGTGCAAATTTGGTTTTACAAACCTCCCCAGCAGGGCCAGGCCGAGCCATTTTGGCGCCCCGGGCCCGGGCACACGGCGCCACCCGCGGGCGCACGGCACATGCAGGGCCCCGTGGCCATGGGGGGAAGGGCGCTGCTGGTATGCAGCTAGGGGTGGGCCACGCCAGGCCGCACAGGGCGGTGGGGGGGAGGGCGCTGCTGGGGGGATGGGGATGGCTGACGCTGCCTCGGAGCCGGTCACACGGCGCCTGAGGGCAGCTATAAGGGATGCCGTGCGCCCTTGCACCTGCCATCAGACGCCCCCCAATAGGTGGGCAGCTGCCCAGCTCGACCATCCCTTAGTCCGGCCCTGCTCACCAGCCAACAACTCAT